CTTGGACTTAGGGCAAATAGAGAACCACCGAGATTTAAATCATATGGATCCTTTACTGAGACAACCTTATCTTGAACTAGATTATGAAGGAAACTCGTTTACCGATCATTCGTTCGGAGGATACTCCAATGGCTATACTTTTGAAGAATCCAATGGATGGGCTTATAAGCTGAACGAAGACTGGCATAGTGGAATTGAACTGTTTGAGCGTAATGATGATGAAATTGATGAAGATTTTACCGAGCTTGATATAGCTATAAAGGGTAAGAGAAAAGAAGATGGCAACATCTTTTTGAGACTCAGAATATCAGATAAAGAAGGTTAGCAGCATATTACAATTTACAACTTGATTGTATTTAATATAATTAATTATTCATATTTACTATAAAAGGGCGCTGATCGGCTGCATTATGATTTCTCCTTTTTGCAGGTAGGATCAGAAACATATATTTCCCATTTGTTATTGAAACAGATACTGCATTAAGTGTTGCAACTGAAATGGTAGCGGAGTTGGAGATAACCGATCAAGATGTGACTAAAATAGCCGATACGATCGACAGAGAAATTGCTTTACTCGTTCCTTACTGGAGACCAGGGCCCGGATATGAAGAGACTCCTGGGTTTTCAAACTCCAACGTCTGTCTCAATTGTGCTTCTAATCATACCTCGACTGGTTCGTTCTTGAATTTTCTGTCGAGTAACCCAGGTGTGGAATCTTTGCAGTTTTTACCGTGTTCAGGATGTACTGCTACACATGGACGGTTTGAAGAATTTACATATCGAGTTGATAGTCCTTGTCTGATTGCATCCAGTTGTGCCAATAAACTGACTTTGCTAAACCATACCAATGGTTTCCATTGTGATGAAGACTGGAAACAGAATGGAAGTCTCGAATGCAGCTCAATAGGCTGTCATTATCGCGAGGAAAGGCATGATAAAGAAAGTAGTGTAGAGGACAAGACACAGGCGATGGTGAAGAAGATTAAGAAATCTTTATCTGACTCCATTTCATTTGCTGTGATTCACCCAATGGGCCAAGATATGCGTGTCGACTACGACCACAAATTTCAACACGAGTTGAGATGGCTTAGAGCAAAGTATCAGATAGAAGCGCTGAAACTAAGAGATCGATGGTTAGAATTTCTTCCAAGATCTTCAAAACATCGTTCGAGTTTGGATCATAGTAACCGGAACGATGAAGTTGGGATTGTATCATACAAAACTCTCGAACTTTCTGATCATGGCGAGAACACGAGTTTGGAAAGCTGCCCGAGTTTGTTCTCTAGTTCATTTCTTCCTCAAAAACTTCAGAGGACAATATCCTTACCAGTTGATGCAGTTGAATTATGATCTGAAAGAGTTGTCTTCATTTTTTTCATTCAACTTTTTTCTTTAAAAAAAAAATTTACAGAAGCTGTAAATTTATCGCATAAACTTTAGTGGTTCTTATACTTGGATTGTAATTCAATATTTTTTGATAAATGGATCTCTAACTTTCTATTAGACTTAAAAGTTTCATTTCAAAAGGTCAAATTTATTAAGAGGGATAATTCAAATTTTTATATATTGATTAATATTTTATATTTATTCGATGTGATATTTATTGAAAGCGAATGAGTCTCTAGAAGCAGATAGAGCTCCTATGTAGACTATTTTAGTGAAAAACAAGAAGTCAAATGAGTCTAATTTTTGACCAAACTCCAACCGATTCTGACAAGAAATGCTAACGGTGGTTTTCTTGAAGGGTTTAATCATATTCTAATCAATCGCATGTTTTGGCTCACTTGACTGCACTATACGAGATAGGAAATTTATTTATTTTTATTTTTATTTATTTATTTATTTTTGTGAAATTTTTATCTATTGTACGGTCAAGTTATGAGTTAATTGAATTAAGAGTTAACAAGACCATGCATTTACGAAAAATGCCAAAAATAAATTATGTTTGGCGAGAGAGAGAGAGTTTACTAAATTGTATCAAATTGTTGACAGTTGATTGTTTATAAATCAATACTTAGTACAGGAAAAAATATATATATTATTGAATTTTTACTATGATTGCTTATGTTATATATTTGAATTAATAAATTGAGTACTTAACAATTAATTTAATGAATAACACACGGGAAAATAATTTGTTTGGTATGCATGACCGACTGTATCCAACTATTATCTACACAATAAATGAATTATGGTTCACCATTAATTAAGTTCAAGTTATTTGAAAAATTTTAAAAAAAAATTATGGGGATTTGATTGGGTATGTAGTAAGAATAATACTGTCTATCCCAATTGTTATGAAGTAGTATTAATTGATGTGTATCATTATTCGTTAAATAAAGATAGTATTTTTTACATAGCTTGTATTGTCCACCTCATTAAATGATGTGTCACATGCAGTATTTTTTGTATCTTCTTATTTATTTGTTATGATTAGCAGGTTAATTAATTAGGATGTGTAGGTCATATTGTCGACCCAACAAAAACGTGTTCCCAACTTGTTACATATTGTCCAAATTGTTGCTTGATATTTTTTCGATCATATACCTTGACCGCTTTGACACCACTAATTGGTGATATTTCATTTGCACAGGCATACAAAACTTGTCATTTAATCTTTTAAATTAAAAGTACTTTTAAGTTTATTTAAATCACTAACTTTAAAAGATCTTACTACCATTATGTCAATTGGTGGCAAACTATCTACATATGCATCATGATAAGTGGTTGAGGAAAAGACATGAATAACGAAATGATTTCTTCATGGGAGTTGTCGAAAATCTTTCCTTTGTGTTTGTCTCTTAGCATTCTTTAGAAGCACTAATTGATATGCCAACTTTTATTCAAGACACCATAATTAATTAAGTGCTTGATATGTACCTTTTGTTGTTAGATGATCTTAGATTATAATGACATATGAACTTTTAATTGTGATAGATGTCTAAAATTTACTGTTAATATGGACTGAATGATTTCTAAACTTAATCATGTTATAGCAATGTGACCTATGATACCAAGATGATTAATTTAATAGACTAAAGTAGTAGTAGTTCAGTAAAATTTTCATTAATGAATGTAATTTTATATATTCGAGCTGGTGAAGGTAATTGTTGCGTGTTGTCACACATGTTCTATCCATCTGGACCAATGGCCCACTCATCCTGATCCACGTGGCATTCCTGCCGAGGTGGCACACATTGCTGAGGTGGGTTATATCCGAAGTGCTTCAAGCCGAGGTCCATCCGCCCGAGGCTCCTCGATCCGATGTACGCGAGTCTGCCGAAGTCCAACTACCGAGGCCCACAACCCGAAGCATGGAACCTGTTGAATGCAGCTGAGGTCCTCAAATGGAAGTATTTGTCAAATGGTCGAAGCCCCGAAGCTGATGCACGAGCCTCTTAACCACAAGAAGCTTCCTCCACAGTCACTTCTCCCAAGAGATCGCCTGCTCAGAGATTTTATTCAAGTAAAATTTTCATTAATGAATGTAATTTTATATATTCGAGCTGGTGAAGGTAATTGTTGCGTGTTGTCACACATGTTCTATCCATCTGGACCAATGGCCCACTCATCCTGATCCACGTGGCATTCCTGCCGAGGTGGCACACATTGCTGAGGTGGGTTATATCCGAAGTGCTTCAAGCCGAGGTCCATCCGCCCGAGGCTCCTCGATCCGATGTACGCGAGTCTGCCGAAGTCCAACTACCGAGGCCCACAACCCGAAGCATGGAACCTGTTGAATGCAGCTGAGGTCCTCAAATGGAAGTATTTGTCAAATGCTCGAAGCCCCGAAGCTGATGCACGAGCCTCTTAACCACAAGAAGCTTCCTCCACAGTCACTTCTCCCAAGAGATCGCCTGCTCAGAGATCTTATTCGAATACACAAATCGAGTTTATACACTTTTACATATACATTTACGAGCACTGGTTGGTAATTATTGTACAATCGGATTACGAACAACCCGTCGGATTCCGAAAGTCACCATCCCGCGTCGTTGGGCTACTCCCACGCCCCTTTGAATCGCTAGTTTTAGACCGTCCACGTGTTTTAGTGTGTTGGACATTCGCCCACGCAAGCGCGGGTGGGACCGACATCTGTTGGCGCACTTTTCGAGGTCAACAGATTGGCGCCGTCTGTGGGAAATCATACCATAACCACGAGCAACCTTGTGGTAGAAGCTTACTGAAAAATATTTGGGCAACCCCCCTTTAAAAAAAAGGCTAATGCAAGAATCAATACTTAAGACTACATTCACTCAACTCTCTCTCATTTTTACTTGCAATACACAAATCGAGTTTATACACTTTTACATATACATTTACGAGCACTGGTTGGTAATTATTGTACAATCGGATTATGAACAACCCGCCGGATTCCGAAAGTCACCATCCCGCGTCGTTGGGTTACTCCCACGCCCCTTTGAATCGCTAGTTTTAGACCGTCCACGTGTCTTAGTGTGTTGGACATTCGCCCACGCAAGCGCGGGTGGGACCGACATCTGTTGGCGCACTTTTCGAGGTCAACAGATTGGCGCCGGCTGTGGGAAATCATACCATAACCACGAGCAACCTTGTGGTAGAAGCTTACTGAAAAACATTTGGGCAACCCCCCTTTAAAAAGGATTTGTTCTTGAAAAAGAACAGGAGGAACCCTGTCATTTAGAGAAATCTAAGTTTGATAAAAGAAAAATGAGTTCTAACGAAGATACTCCCCCAAGGAGGGTAAGAGAAAGTACGAATGTGCCTCCCAGCCTACTGCCCCAGTAGCTCGGCCGAGGCTCCACCACCACCAAAGGAGAGGTGGGATGCGTGCGACAGCACGACTATCAAGAGAAATGGCTACCATGGCAGCCAACATGAGGGATATAGCCAACCAAAACTTGGCCATGAGGGAGCTCAATGCCCAAATGCATGGCCGGTGAGGCTTCCCCATTTCTCCATATGCCCCCCACGTGCACTATCAGCAAGAGGACGAGGTCCAGAGTCATAGGGCTGCCTCGCCAGACTATGGCCGAGGTGAAAACCCATTCGAGAGGGAAGTGGGAGTCGACATTTCCTCCAACTATGCATCTGGCTGACCCACCGAGGTCCAAATGAGCCATGATAACTTTCCACCTCCATATGAGCAAAACCCAAGACATAGGAGAGCAGGAAGTGTTTTTGACCGAATCAACCCCGTCGAACCGAGGCCCAGTCGACAGCAGGCTTAGCAGCCTCGGACGACGCTACAGCCTCTACCTCCGATGCCCCAGCAGTCGGAGAGAAGGCATGAAAATGCCTCCCGCGCTGTCTCGCCTAGAAGTAGGCCGCAAAGGAGGGAGGAAGAGGCTAGGAACCGGCCCGGACCCTCTCACCAACAACCAAGGTACGAGGCCGAAGACTACAATTCTGATGAGCAGCAGAGGTCCTGTGACTTGGACGATGATGATGAGAACCTGCCATTCTCAAGAGAACTAAGAAATGCCCAGGTCCCGGTTCTCAAGAGAACTGAGAAATGCCCAGGTCCCGAGCCACTATGTCATGCCAAAAATACCAAAGTATGATGGGAGAGGTGACCCATAAAAGCACCTCAATGCTTACAAGACTCACATGAGTCTGAGGGGCGCCACCCCAGCCATGAAGTGCAGAGCATTCCATTTAACCCTCAGTGGAGCGGCTGAAATCTGGTATAGTAGGCTACCACCTGAGAGCATCCGAAGCTGGCCCGAGTTCAAGACTACCTTCTTGAAGAGGTTCGCAGTGAGC